GAATGGAAACACACCCTAACTTGGGGATTTCCTCTACATATGGCACATGTTTGAGTTCTTTGCTCCCCCACTTCTTGCCTTTTCCCCCCCTTCCCTTTGCTTCAGCACAATGGCAAATGTGTAACCCCTTCCACTCTGCTCCAACGGAGGCAGACCAGCCCGGAGGCCAAGTGCAGGAGCAGCCACAGACTGGTAACATTTGGGAGGGTGGTACGGGGCAGCCACAGTGGAGGTGATCCTGATTCGTGGGGCACAGTCTGGTGCACGAGTGCTGAGCACCTATCCTTCACCCTCTCCGTCAAGCAAGGAAAACATAAATCTATGACCGTAATTCCCAATCTTGGGTCTCCAGATGTTCCTTGGATCACAACTCCCAGAAATCCTGGCCAGCACAAATAGTGGTGAAGGCTTCTGGGAGTTGCCGTCAAAGAATATCTGGGGACCCAAGGCTGGGAATCCCTGCTCTCTGAGGATCTGTGGAGCATGGCATGGAGAACCTGGCAGCCGCGAGGAAAAGCAGCCTGTGTGGAATTAGCAGGAGAGCTGCGCAAGAGGCTGTTTGGAGATCTCCAAAGCATAGGCATGGGGGGGGGGTGGCAGGCAGGGGCCCTTGGAAGATAAGAGGTGCTCCTGTCTTGAACAAGCCTTCGTAAACGATGTCATAGATACACAGAAGCATCTCCTCTGTAGTTCAAGGAAGTGGGTGCAAGCAGAGGCGGGCAGGCAGAATTCCTGCTGGACTGGAGCGGGGAACCCGTGAACCTCCAAATTCTGTAGCACTCTTGGCTTCCCCAAGGGTCTCTTCCAGCTCTGCAGGTTGTTACCAGGTAGGATTCACTTACAGTATGTGACTTCTTAGACAATCCTGATTCAGTCCACATTTCTTTCATAGGGTATTTGCAGCCATGGCCCAAAAAAAAAAAAAAAAAGGTTGAGAGAGGAGAGAGGTTGAGAGAGGAGGGCGGACAGCTTGCCCAGTCTTGCCTTTCTGTGCCAGTAGCCCAGGGTCAGTTTCCCCTTCAGACTCCAGAATGTCTGGCTCAGGTGTGACATTTTTGTCGGCAGTCTTTTTACCCTTCGTTTCTCATTGTTCTGAAGTGTGTATAAGAGACAAAGGGGCACGCTTCTTGCTCATTTGTGTTGCTTTGCTAATATCATCACCCATGTAATACCCAGCGTTAGGTGCTGTGTTGGGGGGGGCGTAGGGTGTGTATAGGGTGTGTCAGCTTTAGGATCAAAGCCGCCTTGATTCCCTCTGCAGAGAGAAAGGTGGAGTAAAAAGTAAGTTGAATGAATGAATGGTCTTATTGGTGCTGTTACCATTATTCTTGTTTTCCTCGTTTTCTGCTCACTGTGACTATTGGTCCTTATGCTTCAGGATTGTCTGTTTCTGCTAAACACTGGCTTGGTAGCATTGCAGTCGGGTGGTTTGCTTCTCAGCCTTGCTGTTGAGGTCCTTTTACCTAGTAAGGTCATGAACCGAACCCGGGACTTTTGATATGGATCTCAAATATTCTGTCAATCACCTATGGTAGCTTCTCTGCTGCCTGCACCCACATGTTTTTCTTTTCTTTTTCTTCCTTTCTTTTGGCTGGGAAAAATATTAAATAAATAGTCCTGAAAATAAATAGTGATATTTGCACCTCTCCCTAAGAAGGCGCTACTTTCCACCTTGTTCGCTGTACAACCTTATGAAAGCTGTTCTTTCAAGTCTTTCTTCCCCCCCCCTCTACCCCCCACCACATGTTGCAAATAAACGGCCTTAGCTGAGTGTCTCTGCATCTCTGGGATCAATTAAACGCTCGCCAGGGACCTGCTGGAAGAAATCCTCCTTTTTTCTGGCAGCTGTACTACATCACAGCCAGGGTGTTGATCTGCTTTGACCTTCCCTCTGAGAACAGAGAACCTTTCCTAAACCGCCCTCCGCTTCAAGCCTGCATTTTCCACCTCTCTCCCCCACAGTCCCTACTCTGTCTTGGTGGTTTTGCATCCTGCTGAAAACTGTATACTGCATGTGTTTGCTAGTTTGGTTTGTCCAGAAGAGTGTGGCTTCGTGAGGTCGACAGTTAATAGGCGAGGCAGTTGAGTCCTCATAATTTGGTCAGCCTTGATTGACAATCCTAAATAAGAATCTCACTTTCTTCCTGGGAGACCAGAGCTTGTGATTTCCTTTTTGTAAAAGAAAGAAACCACCACACACCCTATTAACTCCTTTCTTTAGAACAGAAACATTTTAAGCTCTTTCCCCTTCGTTGACTTCAGTAGCTAAAGATCTTTTTGCTGGAACTGAAGTATTAACTCTATATTTCTGCTTCTCTGAAGCTCTTTCGAGAAGGACGTGGTGGCGCTGCGGGTTAAACTGCAAAAGCCTCTATGCTGCAGGGTCAGAAGACTGACGGAGTGAGCTCCCATCGCTTCTCCCAGCTCCTGCCAACCTAGCCGTTCGAAAGCATGTAAAAATGCAAGTCGATAAATAGGTGCCACCAGGATGGGAAGGTCACGGCGTTCCGTGCCTATGTTGCGCTGGCCACGTGACCGTGGGAGCTGTCTTTGGACAAACGCTGGCTCTATGGCTTGGAGACGGGGATGAGCACTGTGTCCTAGAGTTGGACATGACTGGACTCAATGTCAAGGGGAACCTTTACCTTTACCAAGAAGCCCTTTGAAAACTTTTCCAGTGACTCTGTTGTTAGTCCACCATTGTGTCATTGGTTGTGTCTAGCAATGCAAGAGATGCTCTTAGGGGTGTGGATGCAGGAACAGTCCACCATTGTGTCATTGGTTGTGTGTGTCTAGCAATGCAGGAGATGCTCTTAGGGGTGTGGATGCAGGAAGCAAGCGGATCAGCTGTTCCTGAATCCAAACCAGAGTTAAGTTCTTCAGCTCTGGATTTGGCAGGACTTCATTTTCATTAGGAGTCTGAAGGGCAGTAAGAAAAAGATGCTGCTGTGTCAACCAGATTAGGTTCAAAGGCCAGGACCCCTCACCGTTTATATACTTATGTTATGTTATGTTATGTGCCATAAAATAACATCTGAGTTCATGATACAGTACATGTTATAACAATTCTAATAGTGTTTTCAAAGGTATGAGAGATACTTAAGGAGTGGTTTTGCCATAATCACCCCCCACAGGGGTTTTGAACCAACATCTCCCAAGTTATAATCCATCAACCTCTATCCATTACACCACACTGTCTTTCCTTTATAAGTTATGCTCAGCCAATCCGGTAGCTTCGTATGACACTCCTGTTCCCTTTTGCACCTGAAGAGGGTGCCGTTGCACAACTGTATTCCAGGTATGGAGCACTTGCTGCCCTCCAGATGTTATTGGACTACAACTCCCATCAACCCCCACTGTTGCCTGGGGCTGATAGGTACTGTAGTCCAACAACATTTGGAATAGTCTTGACAATTAAGAATGGTCCTAAGAATTGTGCTTTTGATTATAGGCTTGTTGCTACACATGGTGTAACAGCTGTTAGTGACTAGGTGTGAAGAGGTTGAAAAGTTGAAACTGATACTGTAACTAGTAAGATGACATTTGCCTAGAACCTAGTGTTTTAGAAACTAAAGCAGGTTTCTTTTTCACACAACATCAAGGAGAAAACATTCAGCGTGCCAGTTTTTAAACAGGGCCCCAAATGAAGAAAATAACATTGGGAGATGAGTAGATGGGGATAAATTTATACAGTCATAGCTGCAAAGGGTCCTTTCCTCAAAATAACATTAGTATTAATTTTGGGCACATGTATTTATGTGTGGGACTGGGGGCACTGATGGTTTTCCCAAGCAGGATTGTTAACTTTGAAATATTTCAAGTGTTTGGTATGTGCTGTGATTTCTCTGCTAGCCAAGGAGACAAATGTGAATGAAATAGAATGCCAGCCTTCCAGACATTGGCTGAGCTTTTGTGAAGTCCAAGAGCGTTCATGAGCATTGTAATTGTGGTGTTCTGATTCTGATGCCGTAGAATGTTAATAAACATTCTAGTTCTTCTGGGTGGTGTGTCTGCAGTAGAAAGTTCAGAGATGAGCCCAATGACACTAAGTTTCATGCACTGGTACAAACAAATATTTCAGATATTGATCACCCAGACTAATTTGCTACATGCAAAGCTGAGCTCTGCTTTTGATTTACACCCTAGGCACCTTCTTAGCTTTCTCCCCTTAGTTATTTAACTAACTATAGTTTCTCGAGCATGCTTCCCCCATTGCTCTGCTCCTGGGACTCTGAATAGCTTCTGAGCGGGTCATTCTTTCCTTTTGCTTGCTCCCCTGCTGCAGTTCCTTTCCTCTTTTCTCTTGTTATGTCTAATGAGTCCCTAGGCTGCCACTGAGACTGGGTAACTGCTCGTAGGTACCATAACGGCTGTTAAATGACTTTTATGAGCCTGATCAGCACTGTCTTCCTTGTGGAGTCTCACTAGAAGAAGTCCCACAGTTGTTGGGGGGGGTGGCAGTTTGCACGCTGCTGATTCTTAATTGATAACAATAAATTGCAGTGGGCGGATGCACAGTGAGATCTAGCCAAAGGGGAAGTGGGGGGGGGGAGGGTATGATGCTCTGATAGTCAGGAACCAAGGCACTGGACCAGGGAGTAAACACTAGGTGCCAGTGAAGTTCTGATTCGTGAGAACAGCGTTAGCTGGAAGAAAAAACTAGTCTTACTGAGAATGGAGTAGAAGCCTAGCAGCATCTGGTTTTGCTTATGAATATGCAAGAGCAGGAGTGGGAGAGGTGATTTGAGGGTAGGGAGTGGAGGGGGAGAGACTACATCACCCTTCCTCTCCCCCCCCCGTCTCCAAACACCATTCTCTGCTGTTTTCTCCCCCAGAGTTCCCAAATACTATTGGTAGAATTTGGCATAGGTATTAGAATTTAGCACAGCTTAAAGGAACCTGCCCTTTTAAGTCAAATAAAACCCTGCTGTAGCAGTTTGAGCAATGTATCTTATTGGAGTCTCTTGCTGATCACATTTGTTATTCTCTCCATTTGCCAGAATCGGGGTCGCCTGGCCGAGAAGAGGACGATCCCCTTGCCTCCCACCAGGACCCCGAAGAAAGAGCTGCCTTCTATTTTCTCACACAGTGAGGACAGTGAGGAGAGTGACAAGGTCAACGGCCACCACCCTGATGTTAAGCAAGAGGAGGATCTGCACATTCGTATCATGAAAAGAAGGTACGCTTTCCCTACCCATTGCTAGTGTGACACTCATCCCCCTCTCCCCACCAACCCCCCCCCCACCTCTCAGCCCCAAGTATTAATTAAGTTCACCCTGATGTCATGGACTGCAAGTTATGTGATTCTTAGACAGCTCCTAGTTGAATGGCTGCACATCTGAAAACCATTGGCTGGATTGCTGTGATGTCATGCAGTGCTCATTAAAATCTGCACACCCAGTGAAGGCCCAGCTTAGACTCCAGCAACATTCGTTGCAATTGCATATTTCAGAAAAAGAGTTAATCCAAGCAGTAGTTTGCATTGTTTGATTGCTTCCCTGCATTCCCCCCCCTCCCCACTCCCAAGAAGTTAGAAGCGCAGCCTGTGGTACCTGGGTCTTAATTCCAGCCAAAAGTGGGAACATGGGAAACTTAGAAGCCGGCAGGGGTTTGGCCCACTTTTGTTGCAGAATTATAGGATCTTAAGCTGGGAAGAGACCCTTGAGGTCATCTAGTCCAAACCCCTGCTGAATGCACATGTCAGAGCAGGAAGCTTATGAGCAGATGTAAAACTCTGCTCATGGCCTGAGTTCAATCCCAGCGGATTCAGGTGGCTGGCTCAGGGTTGACTCAGCCTTCCATCCTTCCGGGATCAATAAACTGAATACCCAGCTTGCAGGGGAGAGCAGGAATGTATGACTCAGCCTTCCATCCTTCTGGGATCAATAAACTGAGTACCCAGCTTGCAGGGGAGAGCAGGAATGTGTATAAATCAATTGTGAACTGCCCAGTGAGTGTGCTTAAGTGCTATGTAAGCAGGACTCTTTGCTTTCCCTTGTCCCACCACACACAGTCCTGCACAGTTAGGTCTTACCTTCTCCAAAGTCCAGCAGGTGTCAATTTCAAATACACAAATTCCTTGCTGTCTCCCAGTTGTCCTGTCTCATTTGGAGGAAATAGGAGCCAATCATTCTTGACCTGCTTACCAGGAATCAATCTAACAAAGGAATTATCTTCAGGATAGTTTTAATATCAGATAAGGGAGAGGAAAGTCCTCGAATACTGTAGGTAGAAACTCAGCTGCTGTGATGTACTTCATAGCTGTGACTGTTGTAGTTGGTTCTGGAAGATGCAAAGAGTCAGCAGTGGGACCTGGACTTTATCTCTTGCCAGGAAAATAAAAAATCATTTTAATTCACAGGCATGGGGGTGGTGGAGATTAGAAATAGGAAATCTATGCCACTGGGAATATAGGTGTTGGCTTCCAGAGTCCGGATTCCTCCGAGCCAACGTGCTGCTTGTAAGATGCTTGTCATGGCAAGACCATAAAAATGTAATGCATCCTCATCTCATGGCTCTTCTCCTCCCCAACACGTATTATTACGGCTATTCCTGATCATCCTCCCTGTAGCCTTGCGTGCTCCCTAATGCACGGAGTGGCTCAGTTTGGGAAGCAAGTCTTATAAAAACAAAGGGGTGGGAAGCGAAAGCGTGTAATTGCTTTCCCTCTTGTTTTTTTTTATGTGTGTATTGCTTGCAAGTGACAAAACCATTTTCTTAGCCTTTAGTGAGTTACTGCATGGCCTCTTTCTCCCCTCCCTCAAATTATTTAAGTCCCTGTAATTGCCTGTTCTTTCTTTTTAGCTACCTTTTTCAGTCCAGTGCTGTTTGAATGCCTGGCTTTGTCTTACTGAGAAAGGAGAATGCCAAGGATAGAACTCTTGGTTTGCATTTAGAAAGTCCCAGGTTCCTCCAGGTATGGCTCAGAAGGTCTCTTCCCTAACACTCTGGAGGAGGTGGTGCCAGGCAGGACAGAGCAGTGAAAGCAGCCATTGGCACATAATTTGGACAGGGATGTCGTTTAGATGGGTGAAGGTTTTTAATAATAATCAACAAGAGCTGAGTCTCTCTCCATTCCCTATCCCACATGGGTCACCCCTCCTGTCACTGTTCAGGATTAATACAAGGAGTACCTCCTAACACTCCTAAGTCCTTTCCCCCTGGTATGCAAACTTACATAAAAGATAGATGTAATCACTGGTCGCTGAGTGAGTTCAGGTATGGTTGGGAGTTTGATTCCCCCACTGTATCTCCTGCAAGTTCAGTCAGCCTGGGTAGCCTTGGGCAAGCTGCACAGTCCCAGAGCGCCCCCTGGGGGAAGGAAAGGGGAAACCATTTTTGGAGTCTTCTCTACCTGGAAAGCCCTGAAAGGGGTCACCATGAGTCAGAATTGACTTGACAGCTTATGATGATGATGAATAACAATATCTATAAACATAGAAGTATTTTTCTTCAGTGGGGTGAGAAAGACTTTTTGTTTCTGTAATGGTGGTGCTCAGGTTTTCTAAGGAGAGTGACTGATAGATTCCGCATAAGAAATGTGGGTGCCCCCTGGTGTAAACAGTACTGAGTGAGATGGAACAGGGGTCTGACTTGGTCGGAGTCCTTGGCCTTTACCCAGTTCTCTGTTTCCTCCTTGAGAAAGGCCCAGCCAAAGTTAAGCCCTTTTAGGTCCAGTAAATTTCAGTGGGAGGGAATTAATTGCAGGCCTAATAGTTTCTAACAAAATGAGTGGGATTAGACATTGCTTAACATCCAGATATTGCAAATCTCTCCTGACTCATGGTTAATCTTTTAAAAATTGCATATGTACAGGAAAAGAAGGACCTCTTTTGCATGCCAGTTTCAAGTCATTTTTGTGCCTAGCAAGAAGGGGGGGGAGCCCTTGGCTCTCCGCTTTGCTGGAGCTTTAGTGACTGCTGGTATCGGATTGTTGTTTGTTGTTGTTGTTTAGTTGTTAAGTCATGTCCGACTCTTTATAACCCCATGAACCAGAGCACGCCAAACTCTCCTGTCTCCCAGAGTTGGGTATAATTCATGTTGGTCGCTCTGATGACACTGTCCAACCCTCTCGTCCTCTGTCGTCCCCTTCTCCTCTTGCCTTCACACTTTCCCAACATCAGGGTCTCTTCCAGGGAGTCTTCTCTTCTCATGAGATGTCCAAAGTATTGGAGCCTCTGTTTCAGGAACTGTTCTTCCAGTGAGCACTCAGGGTTAATTTCCTTCAGAACGGATAGGTTTGATCTCTTTGCAGTCCAGGGAGATGCTGTCTAGGTTTATCATCACTTTCCTCCCAAGAAGCAGGAGTCTTTTAATTTCATGGCTGCTGTCACCATCTGCAATGATCATGGAGCCCAAGAAAGTAAAATCTGTCACTACCTCCATATCTTCCCCTTCTATTTGCCAGGAGGTGATGGGACCAGTGGCCGTGATCTTAGTTTTTTTGATGTTGAGCTTCACACTCTTTTTTGCGCTCTCCTCTTTCACCCTCATTAAGAGGTTCTTTAATTCTTCCTCACTTTCTGCCATCAGAGTGGTATTATCTGCATATCTGAGGTTATTGAAATTTCTTCCGGCACTCATAATTTGGGCTTGGGATTCCTCCAGTCCAGCCTTTCGCATTATGTATTCTGCATATAAGTTAAATAAGCACGGAGAATGTACAGCCTTGTCGTACTCCTTTCCCACTTTTGAGCCAATCAGTTGTTCCATATCCAGTTCTAACTGTTGCCTCCTGTCCCATATATAGATTTCTCAGGAGATAAATAAGGTGGTCAGGCACTCTCATTTCTTGAAGAACTTGCCATATGTGGTCGACACAGTCAAAGGCTTTTGCGTAGTCAATGAAGTGGAAGTAGATGTGTTTCTGGAAGTCTCAGGTTTTCTCCATAATCCAGCGCATGTTAGCAATTTGGTCTCTAGTTCCTCTGCCCCTTCGGAATCCAGCTTGTACTTCTGGGAGTTCTCGGTCCACATAGTGCTGAAGCCTACCTTGTAGGATTTTGAGCAGAACCTTGCTAGCATGTGAAATGTTTAGTTATAGGATTATATAGTTCAAATGCAGCAGAGGTTTCCTACCCTGCTACATAACATTCTCAGCTAGCAAGAAAGCTTTAGCCTTCTTTCCAGCTTGCCCGAGAAACCCTTCTGGCAGACGTGGTCATCCCTGTGATGGCTTAGAGAAAGCTGTCACTGATAGAACGTGGAGGCAGCTCTCCGTAGAGAAGGGAAAGGTCAGTATGTCTGTGGGATGTGGGTGGGAGGAACGTCAGAAGGTCAGGCGAAGCGGAAGGGTTCTGTCAGGATGAGGAGCATGACTCCTGGTGAGGAAGGTACTGGGGGAGGGAACGGCTGAACGAGAAAAGGGCAGTGGAGCCAGGAGACCGGAAGGCCGGAGGAAGGATTTCTGAAGGAGGAAGGGATGCAGATCTTGGCAGGAAGGAAGTGAACAGGAAAGTGAGTGCTAGAACATATCGTGATCAGAAAGCCGATGACAGTGGATGCAGGCTGTGTTTCGTGTTCTGGCTAGATCTAGCCAAGCAGATCTTTAGCTGTGGGTAACATGAAACACAGCCTCTCTTAATGCAATAATAGTTTGGTCTGCTTCAGGTTTCTTTCCAGTTGCACTTTGGATTAAGCAGTGTGTGTGTGTGTGTGTGTGTGTGTGTGTGTGTGTGTGTGTGTGTGTGTGTGTGTGTGTGTGCGCGTGTGTGCGTGCGTGCGTGCGTGTGTGTGTGTGTGTGT